AGAGAGAGAGAGAGAGAGAGAGAGAGAGAGATTTGGAATCGAGTTCGTCATAAGACGGTGTAAAATGTCGTTTGTGGGTTGGCATAAATATTTGTATTTGTGGCCTAGCTAATAAGCTTCTTATGGGATGGAATAGCTCCATCTATCCTGGGTCCATCCATTGTTCCCATGGAAATCCTGATTGATTTGATTCCTGAAGTGGAGAGCGTGAATATCAAAACTGCAGTGGTTGGCGTGTGCTCTGGTGTGGCTTGCTCCTTCTTTCCTATCAAACATCTATTGTCTTGATCTCCCCTCCATTTTTATGTTTGTTACTCTCTTGTAATGCTCTCTAATCCTGGGCACTTATCTGACATTATTGTGTTGCAAGTGCCGTAAAACACTTACTAAAATTAAAAGACCGCAGTGTCCAACACGGCGGAGGAGAAGAGTTCGCGGGCTTGCAGAACATGGACAGTACAGAACCAGGGCCGAACGAAATCTGTCGTCTGATGTGACTTAGGTGGCCCATTTACTGCCCAGCTTGAATCGCAGATCATTATATTGGAGAACTAGACTACAACACCCCCCCCCCCCCCCCCCCCCAAAGGAAGAAAAAAGAAGGGGGGAGGAGGGGGAGGGGGGAATTCAACCAACAAAACGACCATAAAAAAAAAGAAAGCACCCTCCCCAAAAACTAACAAACAAAACAAAACAAAAAGAACGATTCCTAAATGTTGTGTCTTTTCATGCTGCTTTACCCCTGTTTCTACCCCTTACATTAAGAAATATTTAGAATTTGAATTTCAACTAAATATTTCTCGAGCACAATATGCAGTCGATACCACGGATTGAGAAACTTCAAAGGAATTTTTTTGATAAAATTTGAATTTTGGGCTCAGTACACCTGAACAGCTAGTCACTTTCTCTTGCTCAGCCTCCCACCCCACCCCCTTTCCCCTGAATGAATAAATAGAGTAAGATAGACGAAGTTTCATGAAGTAATTGAATAGTTGTAAATAAATTAATTTAAACTAATTTTTATTACAAGACGAAAAAGAATAAGTTAAATTATTTTGATAAATACAATTTTAAAATGCAATTACTAGTTGCAAATAAATTGATGAAAGAAACCCAAACAAAAACCGAAACAAATTGCAGGACGAAAATATTTCCAACCAAGCAAACATACCTTTGGACGTTATAGCAGAAAGGGGACAAAGTCACGCTCACCAAAAAAACGACACAAGAACCCCCCCCCCCC